AAAGGGGGGCAAAAATGTCTGTGCGTCTTATGGAGCGAATACCTCTCGCCCCCAGGTTTCGGGACATGTAGTTTCGGGTGGCCGGGCGAGTAGTTTTTTTGTACATTCAGCTCTGCTCCTGACAAGCAGCGCTAAATGTACAGTGGGAGCCACTGTTCAATTAATACAAGTGATCTAATCAGATCACTTGTATCAAATCGAGCGGTGGCTATCGTGTGTGGGGCCCCCCCCCTCGCCCTTAGTTTTCGGGGTCCCCCGCTCCTCTGGGGGACCCTTGACCACAGCATAGGATCTCACCATAGAGCTCGTAGAGCAGACGAAGAACGTCCGTTCTTCATCTGCTCTGTGTGATCACAGCGCCACCTGTCTCAGCTGTCACTAACTGCAGCTGTCACAGACCCCTACCCTCCCTGCGTCCTATGGTCAGGTGCGCCTTATGGAGCGCAAAATACGGTATTTGTCAGATTTCATAACTTACATCAAACTGGTGGCAGGTACTTTTCAGGGCTCACTTGTGTACATCTGATTCGGTATGGTGTCTATCTTTTTTGTTTATATTTTACTCCCAGCTTGGCTGTGTGAAGATGTGCTGGTTTATATATCTTTAACTCACAACCTCTAGATGGGCTTGTCCTGAGCCACTTCCCAGATGGTCCAACAGCCCACTTCAAAATGTCTAACGTTCGCCTGCGCAAGGAGATTAAGGTGCGTCTTGAAGCCATATACTTTTAATTCTTAGACAGATTGAATTATAAGCTTGTTTGTCTTGATGCTGCTTTTTATGCATGAAGAACTAAAAGGTTTTTCTTCAATGTGATCCAACACAACCAAAATAGCAACTAAGACTGCAGTCTAACAATTAGTCATATCTGGAAGATGGACCCAACTATCACGGTGCCTCTGTGAGCGTGCCTTCTCCTCCTCAAATTTTAGTACTACCAGCATTGGTAAAAGTTAGTAATTTATATACAGCTATAAAAAGAAATGGGGCTCGCCAACCAGGTTCAATGAAGTCTCCAAATTAAGTAAAAGAATAGAGCCATCTATGCACTCACAGGTGTTAGGGAAAGCAGAGCCCTGTAACATGTCCAGTGAAGAAGGTGCACTCACTATGGTGGCGGGGCTACCTGCATGGTGGTCAAGGGATCCCTGACACTGTCAAATTTGGATGACATGGCTGCTCTAACATTTCTAGCACTAAAGAATCTATATTTTATAGTTACTTGATTTTTATACAATTTACATTGTATAGTATAAGCTATCAGATGAGAGAGTTTCCAGGGGTTAGTTTGTTCTCTACATAGGAAATGTTTCTGTATTGAGCTACTACAGTGCTAGTACAGTACTTGAAAGGGGGCACAAAGGTATTTAAATGGAGGCCATGTTTGTTTCCGTATTGAATAATAACATGACAATAATAATAATTTTGTATTTTTATTATTGGTGTTGATAGTAATATTCATACACACACTATATTTGCTCATTAAATATGCAGGTTTCCTACTTGATAATGCTGTATTGTGCTTGTGAATGGCATTTTGTATTTAGTGAAATATTAGAGAGAGAATCTGAATATGTAATGGACAGGGCTTGAAAATTCACTCGTAGTCTCGTCTATGACGAGAAGACGCCGGAGCAGGACGAGTAGCTTCCAGGCTGGCCGTTGTAAATAAAGGGACGGCCGGGGGCTTTACATTCATGCGATCGGGCGTCTTTAGGCCCCATTCACACCTATGCGTATTGGAATATGCGCGTCTGTCGCGCGACCGTCACGCGGTTTTTTACTGCGATTCGCAGTAAAAAAGTCGCGCGATTCCAAAGGCTACTTGGCAGTATACAAATGGAAAACGCCCTACAAAACGGACCAATACGCAGCAAAAACCGCTCCGGGACCTTTTCATGCGTGGGCCGTTTTGTAGTGCGTTCGGGACGGGCGGAAATACGGACAGGTGGGAACGATACCATTGACTACAATGCTATTTATTTTTTTGACCGTTTTGTAGAGCGTTCATCGAGCGTAGGACGCGCTACAAAACGGTCAGGTGTGAATGGGGCCTTAGAGGGGTGCGGTTTTAACCCCTCGACACCCCCAGCTGCCGCCGCTGTTGGTCCCGGGGTCCGCTGTGACCAGTGCGGCCAGGAACGGCATGGCTGCTCTGTCACAGGAGATCAAAGGGAGATTGGTACAACATCTCCTCTCCGGTCCCCGAATGTGAAAGCGATGTATATTACATCACTTCCGCATTCAGCTCTCATTCTCTGGCTTCTGTAGCTGGAGAGAAGCTGGTGAAGCAGATCTCTGCTTCACCGGCTTCTCTGGGGGTCCTAGAGACCCCTGATGTCTCCATAAAGGGGACCTGTCTGTGTAAATTGGCTATCACATAGGATGCTTCTTAGCATTTTTTTTTAAATAAGTTATCAAAAATAAATAATTGTAAAGTCAAATATGCGCCGCACTTTACATATCACTGCAAACGTCGGAGTGTGAGCATATTTTATATTTCATCAAAAATATGGGTAAGAATAAATGTTTTTTAACATAACGTAGGGAAAACCTTTTTCTCCTAAATTTACGGTACTTTTTTCATTATATAGTAACCCCACCCCTCCTGTGGTGATTCTATGCCAGCAAAAGAAAGCTCTATGTGTCCCTAAAAACTATTAACATAAATTGCAAGGCTATAGTCCGGTCATGCCGACTGGTGAAATTGTTGACTAACTGGTGAGACACTCTAACATTTTTCAAGCCCCGGCAATGGAACAATCCTGTCTAAGCTAAAAAGAGGGGCTAATATGTCTAAGCTATGAGTAGCCGGAGTCGTAGTGTACACAGGTTTATGGACTCCCCTATGGCTGCACTAATTGGCTGCCACATTGGATGAGTCCCTTGGGCCTCCATACCTAGAAGTACTTCCCAGCACTGAGAGGGGTGACTGGAGGGATTCAATCAAATCTGTTGCTTTACCTTAAATCAGCATATACTTTAGCCGTTCAGGGAAAACACTACAATACAATAATAGGCACAATGTGAGTTCACTGTAACTAGGAAACAAAAATGCACAAGAAATTGTTAAAGGAGAACTATGAGGCAAGTGTTTTTCACTCACCTCATAGTTCTAGCCGACCTGTAACAATGAGACTGTCACAGGTCGGCTCAGTAGATCGGGAGGTGAGCGAACATATACCAGCGTTCGCTCACCTCTCGATCCTGTCACTGCTCTGTGCCGTGACAGGGGAGGGGCTGGATTCCCCGCTCCGATCCGCCAGCGCTGACTGGCGGAACGGACGGGGGAGGGGGTGGGTACAGCTGGCTCTGCCTTTAGATAGGCAGAGCCAGCTGTCACTCACGCAGCTGGGCGGATCTTGACATCGATGTCAGGATCTGCTCCGGCTGCAGTGTCTCAGTATACCGCGTGCTGTAGCTCGCGGTATACTGAGCTTAGGGTAACGGGAGGACGCTAGTTTGTGTCCTCCCGTTACCCTATGGAGAACTATGGGGAAAAACACTGACCCCATAGTTCTCCTTTAAAGATATATACTTGGACAGTCACTAATAAACTTTAAAGGCATGGATTTATTTTTTACGTCAGGGAGCACCTTTAGCCCAGGTCCATACACACTCGCATTTATGTTGCATGGTTATTGAATGAAACCAAGGAATATATCTGAACTCAGTCTTGTCTCTTGCAGAGAAAAGGAAAAGATCCAACAGAACACAAACCAGAGGTCATCCTGAACAACTTCACCACACGTCTCGGGCACTCCATAGGCCGCATATTCGCCTCCCTCTTCTCACATGATCCTCAGTTTCCTGGACGACAGGTGGCAACGTTCCATAACCAGCGGGATTACATCTTTTTTAGATTCCACAGGTAATTCATTCCTACATGCCCCATGCAGATGGTTGTGTGATTTTATGTTTCATTGGTCTCATTATCCGCATAATTTACTACATTGCTCTCGTTTGTTTGAAGGTATATTTTTAGGAGTGAAAAGAAAGTTGGTATCCAGGAGCTCGGCCCCAGATTTACATTAAAGCTGAGATCTCTTCAGAAGGGAACCTTCGATTCAAAGTATGGAGAGTACGAGTGGGTCCACAAGGTTTGTATTTTATATGTCATTTTGGACATTTTTTGTTGTAGTGTTTGTTCTTCTTTAGTGTCACTGCACCATTCCATACACCAAATATTTCAGACGAGATTCTGGCAGCCATAGCTGTGTCAGTTTTTTGTCCAAATAGAGCCGCACTCCATGCTTCCTCTAAATAAATCCAAATTTTATTTCAATCCATGGAACAGCAAACGCCTTCCAAAGCTCCCCAGAACGAAAGAAACGTTCTTCTTACATGTTTCACCCACAGGCTTTATCATAGGAATGAGTCTTTCATTTTCATGCGCCCAAGAAATAGAAACCAGCCCCTCTCTCACCTGATTATGAACAGGTGGGGAGAGGGCTGTAACACCATCAGATATTCAAAGTTTAATGTTCACAATTCTCCGGCGCAGGAATAAAACCTATATAGACCTTGGATTGTAAGCTCCTAGAGGACAGGGATTGATGTGTGAATGAGCACTGTATAAATACTAGAGGTGCACCGAAATAGAAATGTAAGAAACAAAACCGAAATTTAAAAAATTGTCAGGCTGAAACTGAAAATGTTTTTATTTACATTTTTTAAAATATTTAATTTTTATTTATTTTTTATAAACTTTTTAATATTCATTTTTTATTAAATATTTGTATTTTTTACTTTACTTTTTGGGGCTTTGGGGAAATATTAGGGATCTAAACAGACTCCTGATATTTCCCATAATTGAGGATATAGTACACATACTATGTTCTCAATTATCTACAAACACTCAGTGATCACTAATCGCTGAGTGTTTGCTCTCCTCTCTGACACGCTGTCACAGGAGGCTGAGCGAGTGGTGTGGGAGGAGAGCTCAGCCTCCTGTGACAGCGCTGTCTCTGCCCCCACACCGCTCTGCCGGACTGTGATAGGCGGCTGAGCGGTGTGGGAGGAGAGACACCGGCCGCTCACAGCGTTCTCCTCCCGCAGTGCTCGGCCGGCTGTCACTTTCTCTCCTCCCCGCTAGGACACACAGCAGCGCCCAGCGGGGAGGAAAGAAAGCACGGATGCGCCGATGTATCGGCACAAAAATGGCACTTTCGACATTTAGCCAAAAGTGCAATTTTCGGCCGATATACTCCACGAGTATCCCTGAGGATGCTACTCGGCGTCTCATGTACCATTATCCACAACAGTTTAGATGGATGCTGCATTTTTTTCCCCCCCAGCAAGTATGGAAAATACCTGATCGTACCAGAAAGGCCGTGCACTTGTCACTTCCCGTGAGCTGAAAAGCACTAAGAACCTTTATCTTACGTGGACTACACCATGTAATAGGGATGACAAGAGGCAGACATGTTTGAGGTCAAGCCTTTGTCACACCTTAGGATTTCCTCCATAGATGCAGTGGGGGCAGGAGGTGTTTTGATTTGCAGAATTACTGGGTGAAAATAAAGGGAGTACATACAAAAACGAATGCACCTACCACCTTAACGACTGGTAAGCTGCAAGGAATTAATTTTTTACTTTATCTTTACAGCGACATGAAATGGACACAAGCCGAAGAAAATTCCATCTCTAAACACTGCTGTGTGGGACAATGGCTTACTTGTGTAACTTTCTGCCCTAGAAATGCAGCATCTGCTCCCTCTAGTGGAGGGTAAAGGACCGCATAGTCACATGTCATTACTTCCAAACTGTCCCTGAACTGGGGTCACTAGTGATATCTCATGTCTTTCCGGAACAGAGTATTCCCTCAATACAGTGCCTTCTGCAAGACTCCACTTTACAAGGGTTGCTGTACACTAAGCAGTGAATTGTGTTGGAATGTAGAAATGATAACGTGCACTTCTCTTCAGCCTGGATGATGCATGGAGAGAAAGCTCCCATTCCCTTACAAAAGGATGATTATCCTAGAAATGATCCACTTACTAATACTGGCCACATCCAATATGATCCAAGAGCAGTTTTGAATATATATATGTGACCCCAAACTCAGGAGCTATTTCTTAAAAATGCACTCAAGTACCAGAACTATTAATAATGGATCTTATTTGTGTATCACTCGGCAGTAGATCCTCCAATCATCTCTGAATTGGTGCTGACACTGTCCTTCCTTCTGGAAGGGGGGCTACTTTTGTTCCCCATGGTCCGTGTGTGTGTTGTAAAGTAGTCACCACTCCAAGCTCACTCCCTTGGACTACAAGCTCAATACAAATTAGTAAACTAAATGTGAGATTGTAGTCCATCACAGGAGTGAGCTTGGAGTGGTGGGTACATTTCAACACACACAGGGACCATGGGGAACAAAAGTAGCCCCCCTCCAGAAGGAAGGACAGTGTCAGCACCAATTCAGAGATGATTTGAGGATCTACAGCCGAGTGATACGTAAATAAGATCCATTACTAGTTCTGGTACTTGATTGTATTTGTAGGATTTATCTCCTGTGTTTGGTGTCACTTTATTTCCAGCGATTTGTCCTCTTAATAGCACGGGTTTCCCCTTTACCAGTTTTGGGCTCTTCAATGATTATGATTTTTAATAAAAGCATCTTCTCAGTTCAATAAAAACTTTTTTTTATGAAACCATCAGAACCATTTCCCATAGCGACCCGTTTCTTCATTGTAATGCATGAACTGAAGGTTTGGGAACTTTTTACACAAGGACTACATGCCAAAAAGCTTACAGAAAATCTGCCGCGATCCTGTGTACATCAATAGAGAATGAACTTGTGAAATATATGCTATTTATAATATGAAGGCTCTCGTGTGGTTATTGACAGAAGGTGAGAGGAAATCTTAGTCATTGGTACAAATAGGCCCAGAGGACCCCTTGCTACTAGAAATTCTGGACACTTCTTCACCAGTGGCAAACCTAAGGAATAAAAGGACCCTGGTACAAGCAAGATTTTATTCTGGGCCTGCCCCCACCGGTCGGTTCTGAAGAGCTTACACTCTAATGTCCCACACTATTATAATACAATTATATAGCTCTGACATATACCACAGTGCTGTACAGAGACCACTGAGCCAGTCACATTACTTTATCTACAGAGGAGCTTACACTCTAATGCAGAATCCCAGCAATGCGGAACCGTATATGAATTGGACTCTGCGACACACTGGACTCGACCCACCTGAGGTCCCTCCATAGAACCTGCACAGCCCATGCAAACACTATGGTGGGCTCTGTAGGGTCTCTGGTGGGCTGGTCGGGGTCCCTTTCCCTGCACATACAGCTCCTTACCTGCTAGGGCCTGGCCCCCTGCCCGTGGGCCCTGGGATGAAGCCACACCACCGGTAGTTCCATCCCTGCTCTTCACTTATGTTTTGTGTAAAGAGACTGGTATATCGTATAACTAAATGAAAGAGTGACATTTTTTTATACAGTAAACTCCGTTACCCGGCATTCACTGGGATTGGTAGATTCCGGATAAATATTGTTTCTGGTTGCTTGAGACTTACTATTAAAAAAATAGGTCTAACTAATGCCATAAACTCTGTATTAACTTCATATTAATATTGAAATGTAGTAATCAAAACAAATTAAGCCAAATAGACACAAATCATTTCCAGGATAATACATGCAGCAGAACAGCGAGTACACGGGATTTTTATTTCTGGTTAGATGAGAGTTCTGGTTAGTTGAATGCCAGATAAGAGTTTACTGTATTTGACATCACTAGTTTCTCTTCCCTCAAAATGCTAATGAAATTTTTATGTAAAACCTTTCCAAATAACTTATTTTAAAGCAACTGACATCTCTGTGCAACTCTACGCAGTCAGATCATGGCTGGTGGGAGGGGCCAGCCGGGAGCTGTACACCTTACTAAAACCATCACAGCACCCTGCCTCAGTACTCCTCATGTAAGCAGTGTGCTAGATCTTTGGAGGGGTTATACAAATGCCTTGATGGGTGGGTGTTGTGCATTGAAATAAGCAATTTAAGTCCAGGAGAAGGAGGAGCCTGTGCAACTTTACAAGACTGAAGGGAAGCTGGAGTACAGCTTTAAAACGAAAATTCCACCATCATTTAAGTCTTTGTATAGATGGGATGGGCAAACTGTTGGCACAAATACAAATCCTGTATTATAGGAAAGTGTCCATATCCTACAGACTGAATGGCATGTGGCTGGTAGGTCAGATACCATACACATTGTGAATAAACTGGAAAGTATACTTGTCACAGGTTTATAAAATGACGATACAAAACACTTCCCCGAGCAATATTAAAAGGAAATGTATTTATTGCGGTTAGTCACCAGTGTATAAAAATCGATATCTTTAAAAGACAAAAAAAGAAATGCACATTACAGCAAATAGCACAAAGAGGAGGAGAGGTAGATGTTAAAAGGTCTGACAACAGAATGTACATTGGGGTGGGTGAGGATATCTTGGCACATCCCGGAGGTGAAGTCTTGTACGGGTGGGTGTCAAACCGAGCCACTCCTGATAAAATGCGATCCAGCTAAAAGTTAATCTGTAAAAGGCAGGAAAAGGAAGTTATAGTTTATCTACATATAACAAAAAAGTCCCATCTCATCCTCATTTCTTCTTAAATGTATTCACACATTATGGGGTGGATAGGCGATGGGTTGTTTGCCTTGCAAGGGAACCTCCCCTTTGCTTAGTGAATGAGGTGAAGCTCTGCCAGCTTCCATTATCCAATCAAAAATACTGTTTGCTTTTTTTTCATGCATGTGTAAAGTGAATTTTCACCACATTCACCAAGCTAAAAGGAAAATTGGATTGCAAAGTGAACGGCCTATTTGCCTTTTGTAAATCAACCCCAATAGAGTCATCTTTCTGACCATTCATCATAATTCCACAAGGACATGAATGTTGAGGGAAAACATATGGCAACAAGCAAATGACTGCTGAGCAGACCAAAATATGTCACAGCACTTACACATACAAGCCTGCGCACACCACTCTGAACGTGACACCAAACTCAGGAGATGGATCTTAATACATTCAAGTAGCTTAACCATTAACAATATGAGACCTTATTTGTGGAGATCCTCCAATCATCTCTGAATTGGTGCCGACACTGTCCTTCCTTCTGGAGGGTGACTACTGTTCCCCATGGTCCCTGTGTGTGTTGTAGAGTATCCACAGGTCCAAGCTCGCTCCTGTGATGGACTACAATCCCAATACAAATGAGTGAACTAAACATGGGATTGTAGTCCATCACGTGAGCGAGCTTGGACCTGTGGATACTCTACTAGAGCTGCAGCTAACGATTATTTTCAAAATCGGTTAGCCGATTATTAAGTTCGATTAATCGGTTAATCGGATAAACAATACATTTTAAAAAATGGCTCCAGTGATGGGACTACTAGTTTGTATTGAGATTGTAGTCCATCACAGGAGCAAGCTTGGAGCGGTGGAAGTAAAAAAGAAAAAAAAAAGTGTGGTGTGCAATATAGTGAAATGAAAAGTGTAAAATTATACAGCAATGAATGCAGAATGGCACAGGCTACAGAGGACTACAAATCCCAGCAATACATTATACAGCACAATGCAGAATACCACCAGCTATAGAGGAGCACAACAACTCCTTATAGCTGGTGGTATTCTGCATTAAAAAGTTGACAACTTTTTCAATAATCGATTATGTTGATTAGTTGTTGCAGCCCTATACTCTACAACACACAGGGAACAAAAGTAGCCACCCTCCAGAAGGAAGGACAGTATCAGCACCAATTCAGAGATGATTGGAGGATCTACAGCCGAGTGACACACAAATAAGATACATTATTGTTAACAGTTAAGGTTCTTGAATGTGTTTAAGAACTATGGGGTAACCTTTTTATCCCATAGTTCTCTTTAGGGTCACGGGACATATACTAATGTCCTCCGGTGATCTAAAGCCAAGTACATAGTGGGCTGATTGACAGCGGGGTCTGCCTATCAAGAGGCAGAGCCTGCTGTGCCCACCCCCTCCCTGGTCCATTCCTCCAATCAGTGCTGGAGTATCAGAGAGGGGAATCCCTGTGCTCTCTGCAGGGAGATGATCGGGAAGTGAGCGAGTGACAGTATGCGTTTGCTCACTTCCCGATCAATAGAGCCGACGTGTGACAGTTTCATTACCTATGAGGATGAATGTAAATCAGTCACCTCAGTTCTTTAACTCCTGGAGTCTAGAGTCACTTTAAAAAGATACATTTGTATGGATTCGGCACTCATGGTGTTGCATGCATGCACTGTTCCTATCAGATTTATACTGTCAGGACAGGTATGCGTTGCTTACAGCTTCCAATTTCTATTTAGCATATATCATTATGGTGACGCCGTGCCTCCTTTGTCTCTTACTTCACTGACCGCAGACATATGCATCAAGAACTTTTTCAGTAAAGATGGTGGGGGTAGGAGACCTAAATTCATCCCAGGATGCCCAATCTTGAACCTGAGCAGCCAATCACCAGGCCAGAACACTGTCACATGAAGGATGTGAGCTTATTAACCTACTGCGTGACTATACAGGAAAATGTACCAGCTTTATTTTTTCCCCCTTTACAAATACAATTAATTCTGAACATTCTGATTTTAATGTCATCCAGTTGGCATAATGTGATATTACAATGAGCAGAAAAAAAAAAAAGTATTTATTTTTTAGTGGCCATAATACAATCCTTCCATTCAACTACATCTCCAACTTGTAAAGGGAAAAACTAAGGCTAAGGAACATTCGTTTGTAGATATAGTCACACCAGGACAAACTTTCACAGATATTTGCAGGGCAAATGGAGATAAAGATTGGTTCTTTTTATTTCCCAAATGTAGACCATGTTTTGTTTCTAAACAATAAAGTTGCTTTAAAGAAGAAGAAAAAAATGGGGTGGGGGGTTCACTAAACCAGTTCCTTGAAGTCTGATCAAGATGAATTCTGGGTGCCGTGGGTTACTGCACTTTGCACACCCCTCTCACCTTACTGAATACGCCAATGAAAGGGTTACCCGAGCAAACAATGGTTTTTCTTGATCAGATGCGCAGGGGTGTCAGTGACTCTCACGGAGCACACCAAAAATATCACATGCTATCTGATGGCATCTTACAAGTCACTACATTCACACTGTGTAAACTGTGTACTCACCATAGAGCGAAAAAAAAAAAAAAAAAAAAAAAATTTAATAGAAAAGAAATAAAAAAAAAAAAAAAAACAAAAAAGAAAAAAAAAAAAAAAAAAAAAAAAAACTATTTACAGGAAAGAGCAAACTTTCGGGGGTCGGAAAGGATTTGTGCTTGAGGAAATTCCAGTTAGTAAGGGATCGTGTTGTGCATTCTGCATACAGAATTGTTTCAGTTCGGCAGCCGCCTGAGAGACCTGTAAGAGGAAAAGAGAAGACACCAAGTTTTTACTTTATAAACATAACTGTACGGAGAGAGAATGGATGCGGGGCTGCATAGAGACCTGAACCGTTATCATTTGTACCTTCCCTGGAGACGCTTATAATCTAAATGGACACACTGCAGAGACACACACGGGACACGTTTAGTCATTTTGGAGGAATCAAGTTCAAACAATTCTGTTTTTGCTAGGAAAATATCAGAATAATTGCCCCTACAATAGAAGACTGAATACTCACCTCTCAGCGGGTGGAGTCCAAACTCCTCTGTCTTCAAAAACTAAAAAGGGTCTGGCTACGTCTTCAGCATTCAACACAAAGTTTTGTCTGACCGAAAAAGTCACACACACTAATATTTCGCTGGACCTCCTTTAGCTTTGATTACGGCACACATTCGCCATGGCAGCGTTTTAATAATCTTATGCAATGTCACAACATTTGTATTCATTTTTCCATCAAGATCTTGTAGTGATGACGGGAGAGTCGGAGCACTGTGTAGTCTTCTCCAGCACATCCCAAACATTCTCAATGGAGTTAAAGTGACATTAAACCCTCAGACTTTTTAACATAAAATACTGTAATGTGTGCCTTACTGTAATCCATGGTTGTTTCCCTTCTCTTTGCTGCTCTTCCTTTTAAATATCTGTATCTGTTCTCATGCTTGGAGAGAACTTCCCTTTTCAGCTCAGGGCCTCTTCCTGTAGTGCTGGCTCAAGTTACAGCCTATACACACGGATACACAGACACCGTGTCTGACGAGGCAGTCTGCTGAAAAGGGAAGTTCTCTCTAAGCATGAGAACAGATACAGTTTTAAAAAGGAAGAGCATCAAAGAGAAGGGAAACAACCATGGATTACAGTAAGGCGCACATTACACTATTGTTTTATGTTAAAAAAACTGAGGGTTTAATGTCACTTTAAGGTCTGCACTCTGTGGTGGCCAATCCATGTGTGACAATGACGTCTCATGCCACCTGAACCCCTCTTTCACAATTGGAGCCTTAGCCGGCGGAAACACAAAAAAACTGACTTGGGATGGAAGGAGGAGTCTATTTATTTAATGTGGTTGATGTGTTTCCTGTTGCAGGTAGGCGGAGCCTATATCTCGATGGCTGTCCTGGAAGATGACTGGGGAAAAATCCATTGATGGAAAAACCTGATCATTCAGTATATTCAGTGAGGCAGCTGACCTCATTTTTTATTTGCTGGACCTGGATCCATTATCCAATGGAAGGCTCTGACCCATTTGCGTAGCTAGAGCCAGGTGGGTATAAGGCTCTGTACACGCATATATTGTCCTTCTTGAAGATTGTCCACACATGCATTGAAGAGACACGGTCAGCTTGCTCGTGCAGGGCGACCCCCTCAACTCATACTCACCTTACCTCTGCCTGTGTCAGAAGCGGAGAGTAGTGATATCACCCCGTCCATCACTGGACAGTACTTCAAGAACCGTCACCTGGGAGAGGGGGATGGGTCACATGCTCCCCCACAACCAGAAGCGCCGGGTATTTTCTCTGCTGGTGGCAGGAGTGGCAAAGGAGCACTGACCTCAAGAAAGGCAAAGAATATGGTAACCCCGACAGGCGAACATTTTAAATGCATGTGGAACAATGAGTCCCTGTGTGATCAAGTCCTTAAAAAGTCCCGTCACCAATTAAACCCTTCGATACAGTACCAATGCAAACTATTTGCTTGTTTGTTATGAGCACTGCACAGTTCATAGGAACCCGACGATTCCATTAAATGGAAAGCTACCATGTACAGGATGCTGGAACTCTCACTGCCGTCAACAAGTTGCTCCAACCGGCAACCCGAGTGCTTTCCTCAAAGCCATGACAAAGCACCAACGGCTCTATGGGGGATGGGAGGGGTGTGGAAGAGACATCAAAACAGGGACAGTAAGGACAGCTGTGCTAAAAATAAAGTTGTCTTTTAAAGCAAACCTGAACTGGAAAAACTGACGATTTGCTATGTCACGGGGAACATTAAGCAGCGGGAATTTGCATAAACTGTACCCTACAGAGTTTTGAACTCCTGCTGAAAAATAGAAGTGCGATTCCTGTAATGCAAGTGTGCCTAGGCACCGCTGTGCTCTGCGCCTGTACATCCGCAGTGTGAGATCTCAGGCAGTGCCGTCTGATAGTCTCAGGAGATTCGGAGTGAAATCTGATGATGTCACAACTGTGCTGCTCACGGTTCTCTTTGCCAACACGAGGAAGCAAAGCCCTGCCTCTACCAAGATGGCCGCCTGCACACAGACAGTGCAGAACAAGGCAAGGAGAGTCAGTAAAGATCAGCTGCAGGGAGACTACAGGCAATTTTGGGGACTAGTCCTTTGCCCTCTGCCTGACATTACTCAGACACAGCTTCCAGGGTTCAGTTCCATTTTAAATAATGACAGGTCTAGCCACAAAAGGGTGAAGAGTTTGGAGAAGGCAGGAGAAGTGAACAATCTAGGACAGTGATGGCGAACCTTGGCACTCCAGCTGTTTTGGAACTACAAGTCCCATGAGGCATTGCAAGACTCTGACAGCCACAGACATAACTCCCAGAGGCAGGTGCATGTTGGGATATGCAGTTTTGGCACAGCTGGAGTGCCAAGGTTCGCCACCACTGATCTAGGACAACATAGGTGATTCTCCAATTCAGCTCACTTTCTGGTTCAGATATGTTGTCCTGGATTGGTCACTTCTCCGGCCTTCTCCAAACGCTTCACCCTTCTGTGAATAACCCTGTAATATATTTTTTGCTTTATGTATTTCTCACTGGGGGTCCCGCAGTCCCTGTAGCTGCACACTTGCACTGCGAGAACAAAAAGGTGGCAGTTTTATTATAGTGTATTGTGTATATTAGGTCACAGTGGATAAAAGGATTAGAACGGCCTGGTATTTACTGCTATCTGGAGCCCCATTACCCTCACTCTGTCCCAGGGATAGCGGTTTCAACAGACAGGAAGTGAGGGGAAAACTGAACACAGGGACACAGACAGAAATAAAAACCTGACAGCGGTTCCAGCTTCCCCCACTCTACTAAAGAAAACAATTTTATCCAAATCAGAGTTGCTGCTGCTGAAGAGAGACTCACTTCCTGTCTGGTAAAATGTTGTCAGCAGGACAGGAAGGGAGCGTAAAGCTAAAGCAGTGAAAACCTGACAGGGGGTTGTACCCCTTACCCACTCCATCCAAAACAAAGAAAGCATTCTGGCTGGACACACACCAACATCTCTAATTTGCTTCCTTTTTGGACTGTTCTCTGTACCTCTATAGGTTGAACTCGATGGACTTGTGTCTTTTTTCAACCCGACTATGTAACGGATATAGGAGTCAAAAGGCAGCAGGAGTCAAAGGCAGCAGGAGTCAAAGGCAGCAGGAGTCAAAGGCAGCAGGAGTCAAAGGCAGCAGGAGTCAAAGGCAGCAGGAGTCAAAGGCAGCAGGAGTCAAAGGCAGCAGGAGTCAAAGGCAGCAGGAGTCAAAGGCAGCAGGAGTCAAAGGCAGCAGGAGTCAAAGGCAGCAGGAGTCAAAGGCAGCAGGAGTCAAAGGCAGCAGGAGTCAAAGGCAGCAGGAGTCAAAGGCAGCAGGAGTCAAAGGCAGCAGGAGTCAAAGGCAGCAGGAGTCAAAGGCAGCAGGAGTCAGTTTATGTGAGGGGCGGAAGACTCCAAAAAAAAGTCATTGCCTGAAAAATTATGCCAGCCCTTTCCTTCAGTATAATGCATATGCATCACTCCGGTGGGTGGGACTTAACCGTGACAGGGTGCGCCTTGCACAGTGACCCGGCTGTGACCAAGAGTTCCTGGTCACAGTTTACAATTGGGGGCTGGTGGAATGGGCTTCCAATCATGTGACGGCTAATCACATGATCCAAAAGCCCGCCTCCAACTCTTGGCATTAAAGCAGTATTAAACTCAGTCTTTTTTTTTTAAACAGTTCCAACTTTCTCAGCTTGGCTTCCCTGAACTTCCTGCCCAGTACAAGATCACAAGGGACAGAGCAGTCTCCAGCAGCCGTCCATCTACTAGCTTGGAGAAGGTCAGAGAAACACGTGATGCTTTGGGGAATATCAGTGTAATTGAGAGATATCTGTATATTAAAAGTCCCAGCATATCCTCTCCTGTTATGACATCAGCATTGTAATAGGAATACATACCGGAGATTATTTCTGATAATACAATCAAAGCTTACTAGAAAAAAAATCCCTTTTATGTAGCGAGCGCTGCCTTCCGTCTGCCCATCACTGCCAACAACTTCCTGGTGTGAAACACACACACAGCCAGCTTACTGACGCACACACAAGGGTGGCTCCATAGGACCCTACAAGTGAAAGGAACCACCCTAAAACAGCATATCAGGACCAGTGCTCAGGGGACCTGATGATTTTGCAGGAAGATAAAACTCAGACATCAAGAAGCCGCATCCATTGTAAGTGATTTCAAAGCATAAAAAAACCTTTTGACTTTAATATCACTAAGATCTCCATAAAGGGGTGCTGGGAATGGCTCATGGGGCCTTTTTTTGCCCACCCCTGGCATACTGCATGTCCATTGCCATGAGAACATTCGTTTCATAAATAATCACGTTCTATACACAGTGTATAGGACACAAGGATGTCGTGGGACATACCACTGCTTCATTGGAAGAGGAGACAGGCCAGCTCTGAGGTTCAACTTTAAGAGCAGAACAGACAGTTAACCCCTGCAGTGCCAGGGGGGGGGGGGGGGGACCCCCCCACAGGGGGA